ACACCACACGACACAACGTGATTGATCCGCAACAGGGGGTAACGCACTACACGAGTTGACAACAACTGTCACCCAACGATTCTATCTTGTCTACAAACCACGCTTTGTCACGAAAAATCACGCGATAAAACGAACCGAAAATGACGCGAAACAGCACGCGCGCCAAATCCCAGCGAAGAAGACGACGAAGAACACAACACGCGAACATGCCTTGCTCTGATTGGCTGTAGCTCATGACATCACGTGAGCTTGAGTCGTGCGACAGCTCTGGATATCTAGCATGCTAGATATTTTTCTGGGCTCGGCGACGCGTCTGCGAGCGTCTTTGATGCGTTGTTGGCTCTTTCATACTAACAGATTGGCGAGCGTTCATCGCCCGCTAATCTCCCGCGATTTGCACGCGATAACACCCTGACCTGTCGGCGAGCTCAACGATTTGCAAATCGGGCTTAAATCGGGCTTAAATCGGGCTTAAAATCATGTAGTGTGAACTAGGCTTCAGTGTGTTCCACACCGTCGGCTGAAATTGGTCCTCGTCGGCTTTGTTTCGGCCGATACAACATGTTGAAACGGTGTCGGGCCGTCTGTGAAAGAGGGAACTCTGATTGGCTGTTCAGCTTAGTGAAAGAGTCAGTGCACGAGAATAATATCAAAACAGCGAGCAAAGAAGTCGAAACGGTAACTTAAAGTGTAAATTGCAGGTAAAATTTTTCACGAAGATAATGCAATGTGCTTACTAAACATAAAGATAAGAACCGCCCACCATTGTTTTTTTTTATGTTTTTTATACCAAAATGCTGAATATAATATGTAAAGTTGGTGCGTTTTACAGTGGTTTTAAGCACGCCCCCTCCCTTCCACTAGGCTGGGCGTGAAGTCATGAAAGGTACTCCAAGCTTTTACTGTCTATGCCTGGTCTATGCTCCAGGCCTGGAGTTACGTTATATTGGAGACCTAGCTAGCAAAAATGGTTAACTATTGTGTTTTTGCGGGATGTACGAATACATCAAAAACGGGGGAGAGGCTCCACAAGTTCCCCAAGGACAAACGACTGATTCGTGCCTGTAAGTGTTAGCATACCCGAGGTAGAGCTTAGATCGGGCCCAAAAAAATCAAGCAAGCCCCTACCCGAGCCCGCTGTGTCCGAGCCCTAAAGATGGCCATTTTCATATCTCTACACAAAGGCCATAGCATTGAAATTAGACTCGATGCCGTCTAAACATCGTTATGTCTGTCAGCCATCACGATGGACGATGATATCGTCCATCGGCCCAACCCTAGTATTGATATTTTCGTCCAATAAATATAGCAAGTATCAATTAATGGTTTTGTCAGGCTGCATTTTAAACTGAAGGACTATTCCTTTGATATGTCCCATCTTAGTTTTTTGTTTCAATAGGAACTAGGAAGTATGTCAACACAGAAATTGTATTGTTCTTTAAATATCTTCCTAAACATCTGTGTTTGACAGTTAGTAATTATTTGGACAGAATGATGTCTAGTTTTAGTTTTAACTTTTTAAAACCAATGGTTGCTTAGATGTCTGTTTTAGCCTGAGTTCACAAATGCCAGAACAATCTGTTTTTTTGCCCTTAGGTAAAAACACATCTCCATCCATAAGCCTGAAATGCTGAAATGAAAAAGCAGTTAATAATGTAATATAGGAGGAGGACTGGAAGTGATAGAGGGTCCTGCTCACTTCTTTGCCAGTTCTCTGAGCCTGGAGGTGTACAATATCAACTCCCTGCAGTGCACATGGGTCATGTGACCCTGGTTGCTATGTTACTGCATTCGACTGCAGGTGTACTCCCCTAATGGGAAGACCCTTGGAGCAGAAAAGTGCCACATCAAGTCAGTTAACAATCAGAGCTGGATCTAGAGAATATCAGCCAAGATCTGAAATCACAAAGTCTGAATGCGCAGGATTCGTGTAATAGTGTTAAATGTGTGAAGGAACGGCGATTGTACGCTTGGCCCAAGTCAGAGTGGTTTCTTAAATAATAACATCATTAAAGGAATCACATCATCATTCTAAAGCGATGGTAAGAGCCGTTTTAGCTCCTAGTAATGCTGAGATATGACACCCATACCGGGAAGTCCTCGGTGGATGGTCAATGCATTGTGTGTAATGGGAAAGTTATGAGGATAAATGTCTGTTGAAGAGTGGGCTAGTGCAAGAGAATATAGATATAATGTTCCCACTGACCATACAGCTCGGATGTAAATGTCAGCTTGAGAGCAGTTATTCATCCATCCATTCTTCTTGCACACGCTTAACTGCGGCTTCGCTGTTGAGTCGAGGGCAGCTGATACCTGAATAGTCTGGGGCAATCTGATCAGGGCCATAGGTGAATAATTATTACTAATGGGCGGTTACCTTCAGGGTTTGACATGTTTGGTAACAGTAGATGGAGATTAGATGGTTATATGGAAGCGAGGAGTTGGGATTTTGCTTCCTTAAATGGTCAGTGTTTGACAGTTCCTTGTGTTAGATGCAGCAAAAGCCGAGTTTTGCAAAATGCTTTGCATGCAATAGAAATTGAGTGCATACTGCCAAGTGCCAAATAAACACGCTTTTTTGGCTGGGACCTTAAATCTGCTGGTCGCAAATCAGGAACCACTAACGTCAGGTAATAGCAGAAGCATAATGATACAATTTATGCCTTGGTATAATAGCTGTCTGCACAGTACACATGCAATGTTATGTGCGTTCAGTTGATTTAATAGATTTTTTTCTTGCTGATCTACTCCAGCAACTTTTTCCAGATTGTATAAATTATTGTATTTAAAAAAAGATTTTCATACTTTAAATCAAAGCAAATGTGTAATGATCTAAAAATGCTGAATTAAATTAATTTTATTTTTTTGCAGCAAATCTGCTCTAGCAACTTTCCCCGCAAATTTTCTGTATTGTTTTTTTATTTAGAAAAATAATTCTATTATTTTGTATGAATGTTATTGGCTTTATTTAACTTTACATCAAAGCCACATTGTGATTGTCTGAAAATGAAGAATTAAATTCATTTTGTATATTAAAATGTTTAATCAAATAGAGTATTTAGTACCAGACCATGATGCAGCATGTTTATATTTAGGGCAGATAATGTAGTAGTCAAATACGTCATCATTTTTCATAGACACTTTCTGACTGAGCACCAGCACCATTTTGGTAGAACAGGAGTCAGGACATAAGACTAACCATCTAGGACTTCAATATTCATGGTCATACTTTTATTTTGTTCAGTATTATCATCCCAGTGCATCGATTTGTGTCTTCATCCGTGTTTCTCTCTCCGTTCTTCGAGTGCCCTGCTGTGCTGATGCTCCCCACAGCTGTGGCCCCTCTGCCCCGCAGTAGATTTGGGCTTGCTGGCCCTCTCTTAATGGCTGTGAGCAGTGGGGGAGATGGGCCGCTCGGGGAGCACTTGTTTGTTGATTGGCGATAGCAGCACAGTCATTGTTTCCACAGCTGCCTCGGTCGAGGTTTCGATGTTCTTGATTCGACCTTGGGGAGTCAGGGCTGTTTGATGCGTCCTCCAAACGTGGACATGGCCAGGCCAAATTCGGCCTGCTGTTTTTATTACTCGCTTAGGGGTGGACTGCGTGACCAAAATCTTATATTTTTGGTAGAAATATCATTCTTAAAAAACACAAGGAAATCCCGCACACTATAATACTTGGAAAAACGTTTCAGTCTCATGACCTTCATCAGCCATATACGTATCATTAAAGGGTTATTTCTCCCAAAAATGAAAATTATGTCATTAATGACTCACCCTCATGTCGTTCCAAGCCCGTAAGACGTCCGTTCATCTTCGGAACACAGTTTAAGATATTTTAGATTTAGTCCGAGAGTTTTCTGTCCCCTCCATTGAAAATGTATGTACGGTATCCTGTCCTTGTCCAGAAAGGAAATAAAGACATCATCAAAGTAGTCCATGTGACATCAGTGGGTTAGTTAGAATGTTGTGAAGCATCGAAAATACATTTTGGTCCAAAAATAACAAAAACTACTACGACTTTATTCAGCATTGTATTGTCTTCAGGTTCTGTTTTCAAGTCTGTTTTTGGGTAAACAAACCCTTTAAAGATATCATTCTTAACAAATAAATATGTCTGGTATCAGTGCAAAAACAGCTTCACATTATGTAAGAATTGAGTTGAAAACATTCACACAGCAGTAATGCATTAGACATGACTCAATGCCACGTTTGAAGCCATAGTGCTGCAAATTAAGATGAACTGAAAGTAACTGTTTGTGTGTTTCTTAACGTAGAGCGTCAAAATTAAATTGCTCCCATTATAATCAATGAATCTATCATTTCTTGGTGTCAGATTAAGCTGCATCACAGATATACCGCAGTTAAAAATGGTGCAGCAGAATCTCTACCTTTTCACATTATATTCAGTACTATACTACCCAGCGCTATCGCTTTTTATTCCTGAAATTTGAAAATATTAGCTACTCTTGTACATTTTTTTTTTTCAGAGATGCATGTAATCCAGTGGTGGAGTTTGAGCAGAAATGTGGTCGTTTTGTACGTGCTTTTTTGTTGGATGTAGTTTGAAATCTCTTTACAGCCCAAATTCCAGACTCTTCCGTTGTGAACCGAGCAAACAAACAACAGCTCGCTATCCTGATTCAGGCCTAAATTGGAAAACAACCAAGTACAGTTGTGCTTGTTCTATTGACGTAGACGCCCTACTGAGAACTCCTGACTGAACCTGAAAGTTTAGGAACTCTCATCTCCTCCAGCAACCATTGCTTTGTGTTTGATCAAATCTTGAAAAGCCACAATGAATGTAGAGTTTCAGAGTAAATTCATATTCTGCAATTTGGCCTGAAAGCATTTGAGAGTTTAGATTTTTTTTTCAACAATAAAGCTACCTCGAAGCCTCGTCTTTAAACGAATGCTTGTGCATTTTTTTTTAACAATTTTATCAAACAGGAAATTCCCATCTCACCCCTGCGTCTGTCTTTTTTTTGTGTGTTTTTACAGCTCCAGTTCTCATGCTGTTCCGCAGCACATGCCGCACGTCTTCCCAAATCCCAGCTCTTAGCTGCCTGCCGTGAAAACCACTCTCAAAGTCCCGTCCCTTCCCTCAGACAAGCTTTTATTTGAACATGCTTTTACCATTCATCATAGTGCGAAACCAGAGATCACAGCCTCTCTCTGAGGACAGCACATAAAGGGGAAGTTTACTTGGGGAACATCAGCAGATAAAAAAAAAGAAAGGGAAAAGTAGACGCGACACTTGAACTTATGATTGGCACCTTTGACAAGGTTTGAGCGAGTTGACGGTGTGCATCCATAACCATAAAAGATATTGAACGGTTGATGTTGTGTTTATGAGCGCATAGCTCAGAGAGGCAGCTGTCCTCAGAGTTGCACCGCTGAGTAACACAGCAAAGATTAATAGCCCACGATAGACAGTAAATGATACTTGATTTATGGCTCATTATATACGCTGCTGTGTGGCTCATAGTCTTACACACTGGGCTTTTAATACTGCCGTGTCTATCAAAAGAGCCAGGCTTATGAATATGGGAGCTGAGAAATTATAATAAAGTAATTAACATGGAAAGACCACTGCTTTATAAGCGATCTCAACGTTAATTTGGCCCACTTGCGGTTCTGTCGCAGCCAGGGTTACTGGCATTTGAGGGACGGTTGCAAGAGATTATAGGAGTGTGATAAACGAAATAAATGTGGTGTATTTTCCTGTTGTGTTTATAAATGGAGGCTGATTGGGACTTAGTCATTCTGCTGTTTATATGGCACCAAAAAAGGGCAAACTACTTTTATTAGGACACATTTTAGGATATCAATGAAAAATGTTTTTATTTTTATTTTTTGTAGGGACGCGGTTTATTTCGCATGGGTGAATCTATTTGTTTGACTGTGTTTATGTGTGCAATAAATGTGTCTTCACAATTAATTGATGCATGAATTGCAACGTAACTGATGTAAACGCTTGAAAAGGGGTGAAAATGATTGTCCGATGTAAAATGAACAAGTTTGGCATTAATCTCCCACTCGCATTATAAAATTTGTGGCTGACATTGAATCCCCAGCCCTCGAAGAGCCCAAACTGTCCTTCTTGGCTCAGCAATCTATTTTAAGAAGGCCCTTGTTGTGAAGCAACACTCTCCCTGATGTATTCTTTTGTCCACAACCAGTCATTACTGCCACTGTCACCCTCTGAGAGCTGTTCCCTCCCTCTACGCCAGGGTTAAGGGCTGGCCTACTTTTGACCCAGAGAGCGTGTGCTCGCAACTGGTGATGGGGGTGATCTTAAAATGTTGGCAGACCATTTTCACTGGTGGATACTGGTTGCTATCTCACCCTTGAAATGTGGAATCTTTCATCTCACTCCCTTTTTTTTTAAGGCGCTCTTTGCCCAAGCTCCAGTGATTCCTGAAATCCATGTCCAGGGGCTTCAGGTACGGCTGTAAATCCCACATTCTTAGTGTGGTCCTACTCCTATTTCTTATCCCAGAGGCTGAGGGGATGTGTGAGGGTTTAGCGGAGATGATTGCTAAACGTTGTGCGGTGCACGGAGACCCATGAACTCGGCTGTTTCTTATTTCTTTTTCGTTTTTGTTTCACCCCTATTTATTAATTTCTCCATCAACCATTTTTAGCTGCAACAGCTAAAGCTTGTACACAGAATTAATATAATATAATACAGAAGTCAACATTTGAAGTGGATCAAAAAAGTTAATCAAAGTTGTCCTCCTTAGACAAGAACGGGTATTGTTCAAAATTCATGTATAACTTTAATGAAAGGTTTTGATCCACTTCAAATGTTGACTATAATATAATATAGTATAAATATAAATATAATATAAATATCATATAATAAAAATATCATATAATATAATATAATTTAAATCGTTTAAAAGTTTGGGGTCAGTATGTTCAGCAAGGATGTATTAATTGATCAAAAGTGACATTAAAGACATTTACAGTAAATAAAGAATTCCGTTTCAAGTAATTGTGACACTGAAGACTGGAGTAATGGCTGTTAAAAATTTAGCATTTTTATCACAGTAATATATTACATTAAAAAAATATATATATATACAAGTTTGGGATGCACCGATATGAACATTCTGGCCGATATCAATAATTCTTTAGGCTATATATAAAAGTTGATAGCCGATATATTGTATGATAAATCTAAATCCAAATGTTTATATAATTTGAGAGTCTGATTACAATTACCATTAAAAGCCATGTCCCAAGCACTTACACATAAATCAAACATATACAGTACAGTAGCGTAGTTTGAACCAGTGTAAGTTTTAAAATTAATTTTACATTCCTAAACTTTCTTTATAAAAAAAACAAATAAATAAAATTATGGCTAAACAATACCATGGGTAAACAAAATGGAATAGCCACCGCACAGACAAAAATAAAAAAAATATTTTAATTAAACCATATTGTTAATAAAAATAATAAGAGAAAAATAAAGGTTCTAGTTATTATTAATAATGCATCAATGTTTTTGAAAAAGAAACATCTAATATTAATGTTACTGTTTCAAATAACATTGCTGTTTGAGCTGCGTGCGCTGAATGAACTGAAGCGCTTTGTTAGCGGGTTAATTAACTCAGAAACACATCTTATATAAGATTAATCAGATATTTATACAAAAACACAGTTTATAGGCTATCTGCACAAAATGAGGCAGATGTACAAGTGCATGCTAAGTTACGTGCTAGTCAGAACGTGTTACTCTTATTGTGGATGCGCTCTTGCCGTAACAACACGCTGAAACACGGCAACTAAACCCAAAGAATTCACAATGTTTTATTACAATAGTGTTCTCTCTATAATGCTATGTATATGACAGTCCCAATCATAGTTATTAATGTTGTGCATTGATTGGTGAAGCTAAAGAGCTGAATAAATAAACACCTTAACTGAAGCGCTTTGTTAGCGGGTGTAAATTAACTCAACCAAACGCATCCTATGAGATTAATCAGATATTTATGCAATATAAACATAATATTGCAACTTATATCTGCGCTAAATGATGCAAATGCACAAGTGAAGTTGAACTAACACGGCAACTAAACCCAAAGAATTCACAAAGTTTTATTATAATAGTGTGTTGACATTGTTATCTAATATGACCGTCTCAATCACAGTTATTAACGTCATGCATTGCTGTTTGAGCTGCATGCACTGAAGCTAAAGATGATCACCAGTAAACTGAAGCGCTTTACTACCGTGTTAATCTGAGCTAGTGTCATTATTTTGTGTCAATCGGAGTCATTTTTTAAACCAAGTTCCTAATTCGCCCGTTTACTCTTCCTTGATTTGGATTATTCTCTGGTATTGTCTGTCTCTCATTTTTGACATTTTAGTGGGTGCTGGATGGCTTCTCTTTTCCACTTCCTTTGGATGAGGTGACGTAGTGGAAGGCTCCCCCTGTGCTTCTGGCTGATCTCTGTCTCTCGTTCTCTCTCTCATGTGGTTAGTGGAATCAAGGGCAGTGCCACAGATGAGGAGGAGACATGCTAAAAGTAGCCGCCACTGATCACTGAGAGTGAAAGTGGAGTACCCCCCGTGCACCTTTAATCCCACTCACTTGTTCTCACTCTCCCTCTATCCCTAGCACTCTTTCTCTCTCCTTCTATCCCCTGATGTTGATTACAGGTCTCCAATAGTTACAGCAGTGGAGAACCAGGTCTTCAGCGAGCCGTACTTCCTCTCTGCTGGAAAATCCATAGCTGAAAAACTAGTTACTGTGTTTTGAAACATTAGCTAGTTAAAGTTGGTCATTGTAGTAGTCCAAGCTGGTCAGTAGTTGGTTAACCAACTACCATGTTCCAAATACTGACTTGACCACTTTGCTGGTCCAAGATGGTCTGGAACAGCTAGACACCAGCTACCAGCTTGATTTCTGTTGGACTGTTCCTGCCATTCTGTTCCTGTGGATCTTCGGTTTAACCACATATCCTGAGGGACACAAGGCTTTGCAGCCCCAAACTAGAGTAGATAATCCAGTCATCCAAGCCACGAACCTCACTTTAGGCAGATTGAAAAATTGCATATTTTGGCCTTTATTTCCAGACAAACAATATTTGACCTCTTTAAAAGGATTCTCAGTGCAGTCTTCGACTTACAAGTAGAGGATAGCGAATGGACTGTTTTAATCAGGCTGTCCTTTTTATGATTGTTTTATTTAGCCTTTTTTAAGCAGGTCATTATTTAATTTGTCCTTGTCTTGGACTGGGTTTGTGGCTAATCAGTGAGTTGTTCATGGTGCTCTTCAAATTTATTCTCCTCAGCAGTGCACAGGCATTTTTCACGTTAAGTAAAATGCTAATGTAGAGTAGTAAAATGAGAGATTGTAGGGCTGTCGTATTCCGCCAGTCCATTATCATTAGGTTGGAATGCTTTTCGATTTTCTCTGTCAGTTCATTTAGTCCTGCATAATAACAAATAGACAGCCTTTCCCGTGATTCCACAACAGCGGTGCTACTTCAAAAACAGCTGGGGGAAGATTTACAACCTATGTTTCCCAGTTGCATTATGTTTCCCCTTTCGCCTATTACTTTGTCTGAGTTTCGATGGCAAAAGAAGCTAACAAAAGGGATCTCAAACTAATTTTACCCAAGTTGTCTGTCAGTGTCTCGCGTCTGACGATGCGACTCCTCCCCCAATCCGGGTTTCGGTGCATTCTGACAAACCGCTGCCAAAGATTGCGGAGCTTCCCCACAGAGCTACCTTCATTTTCCCGTCTGCCAAATACACCTTCAGGTTCGATTGACATTCCCTTAAATGGCTCTTTTCAGCCAGTTAAAGCTGTCCGCTGATGCTGCCTGAGTGATTGGCCTGTTTCTCGATTTCCTCCACCAGAAAACAAACTCCATTTACTATTTAATGCCCTCAATAGATTAACTGCTTCTTTGTCTTTCAAGAGAGATAAAGTGTGAACATTGGTGTCTTGCGGAATATGCAAAGGGAGATTGTGAAGTCGGTATGATATTAAAATCCACCATATTTTCTTTCTTTATTTAAATATTTGCATTTATGCTGAATATACACTACCATTCAAAAGTTTAGGGTCAGTAAGATATTTACTTTAAAGGAATTAACTCTAACTATTCAGCAAGGGTGCATTAAATTGATCAAAAGTTACAGTAAAGACTTTTACATTGTTACAAATAAATTCTATTTCAAATAAATGCTGTATGTATCAGTTTCAATAATAAGAATAAGAAGAAATGTTTCTTGAGCTTATTACAATGATTTCTGAAGTATGTGACACTAAGTCTAGCTTTGCCATCACAGGAATCAACTACATTTATGAATTTGAATATTATAAATTATTAAAATTATAATAATTCACAATATTACTGTATATTGGATCAAATAAATACAGCCTTGTTGAGGATAAGAGACTTTTTGAAAATACATTTTACCAATCCCAGACTTTTGAACGGTAGTGTAATTCTTTGCATTTGATGGGGATTAGAAACATAACTTTGCTTTCCATTTATTACTTAAATACCACAGCAAAAACTACTAGCCAAGCTAATAAAGTTCAAACATTATTAAAGACAAGTGAGCAGTCAGTAATAAAATAAGAACAAATACACAGATTACAATAATAGATAAATACAATAGAAAAAATGACAAATAAAGTAAGGTCTAACAGTAGAATTCAGGTACAGAAATGTAATAATTAAGTGTAAAAACACTGCATAGTGTTCACTGTATAATTGAATATAGATTAA